AAGGAGGCGGAGGCAGCGCCCGGCCGTGCCCGCGCCACACAGCCCGCCCCCGGCACCTCGCAGCTCCGCGGCGGCCGAGCCGCGGTCTCCCTCACGGCCGCAGGAAGGAGAACGGCGGGCAGGGGCGGCCGCCGCGCTTCGCTCGGGCTCGGGAAGCTGCAGCGAGCACTTCCGCTCCGTCCTCCACGGCACCGCCTCCGGGCCTCCAAGATGGCCGCGGGGGCGGGGCCGAGGGGCTCCAACCATTTCCGCTTCCGGTGCGGACGCCGAGGCGGTTGGCGGGTGGCACTGGCGGCGGAAAAGGCGGGAGCGGCAGACGGGCCGGAAGCTCGCTGGGTGCGCAGGCGCAATTGCGTCCTCTGGCTCCGGGCCCGGCTCACTCCTCTCCAGAGATTGTTACCGCCGGAGACCAGGCCCTGTGGCCACGCCCCCTTGCGACCAGAGGCGAATGGGCGAGGCCTTTGCTGATTGCTAAGGGAACCCCCTGGCGGCAAGATGGCGGTGCCCGACGGGGGACCCTCCGAGGCAGCCGCCCTGGGACGGTGACGCCTGCAGGCGGCCCTGGGCGCCGCTCGGGCTCCCCTCGCTACTCCCCTGGCCCCAAACGGTCACTCTGGGAAGTGGAGGTCTGGAGCGCCGCGTCCCCGCCAGGCCGGTCCCGCCGTCCCTCCTGGCTGGAACGAGGCGGCGGCCTCCGCCGCCCGCAGCGGACCCGGACGCCGGCCTCGACGCCGGCGATTGCGCCGTGGGCTGCGGGCGGGGCCGTGACGAGCACAGGCCTCCTGTCTTCTGGCCGTGCTGCGCAAGGGAGTTTGGGCTAGGTGTTCCCAGAGTCAAGAAACGGGTCTGGACCTGGCCACTCCCCGTCCCTCTCCCCAGCATTTGCCCCTAACCTCTCCCGACGTGGGCCTGGAACGCAGGGGGCTGAGGAAAGGGACCCTTCCCATCCCAGGAACTGCTGGAGGTGGGCGTTGGGGATGGTGCACCCAGCCGCGGTGTGGCGGGAGACGGAGCTGGCCAGCCCTCCATGGGTATAAATGGGCTTTGTCCCCGGGCCCCTCCGCACCTGTGCTGCTGCTGACTAACTCAGCTCATCCTGCCTGGCTCAGTTCGTTTGCCCCCTCTCCAAGAAGGCGCCTGGCCCTGCCCCCACCTCCCGACACCTCTGCTGTCTCCAGGACCCTAAGCCCTCCTCTCATGGAGCGGTCTTCTCTGCACCGCGTGGGTGCCCACCCACGTCACATCCAGTCAACGAATGGATGGACAAACAGTACACAGAATCTCATGCACCCTCAACCGAGCCTCTGGGCAGCTGTGTGGGGGCGTTCGTTGAAGGCGAAGTGCACAAACCCCTTAAAGGCCCTGGAGGGAGCTGCACACCCCTCTCCGTGAAGGAGACCGCCCCCACCTGAGTCTCTGCTCCCTGTGTGCGTCTCCCTCATTCTCAGGTTATGGCGTCTGTGTGTACCCGAGTTCCTTTTGATATGAGGGAGAATGGAAAGGAGGGAAGTAGCATGGTGAGGAGCCCCAGGTCTCTTCCTGCCAGCTTCCACCTCGCAGCCGTGGATTCCAGGGCAGCTGGGCGGGCCGAGTGTCACCCGCGTGGGCTCTCTCAGGCAGGTGCCAGCATGAGGACACTTTCCGAGGCTCTTGGCCTGGTGCTGCCCTGGCAGCGGGGGGCAAGGCTGGGAGGGGGAATGGGATCCTGGGAGACCCTTGGCAAGCCACCTTCTCTTGGGCCTTGGGGCATCTTCAGCAAAGGAAGCTACAACCTGGGAATCCTCCTGGAGTTTTAGTTCATTGGTCTTTTCCAGAGGGGAAGTTGGTTTATTTCTGACTGTACACAGGCAGCTTACTTTTGTGAAAAATCCAAGCAATAGAGGAAAGAAAGTAGAAAGTCTAAATCATCTGGTACTAGCACCCGCCCCTACCACACACATCAGGCAAGTGCTGTGACCTTTGGGGCCTGGGCTCCCCAGGGCTGTGCCCACACAGTATGATAACCGTTTGTGGGTTCTGCCTGCTCACACCTTTGCCCAATTTTCTTATTTGTATTTCATTTTATTGTATTTTTTAGAGACAGCGACTTGCTCTGTCACCCACGCTGGAGTACAGTGGCATAAGTAGCAGCTGACTTCAAGTGATCCTCCCACCTCAACCTCCTGAGTAGCTGGGACTACAGACACCACTATACCTGACACCTAGCTAGTTTTTCTATTATTTGTAGAGATGGGGTCTTGCTATGTTGTCCAGGCTGGTCTTAAAACTCCTAGCCTCAAGTAATCCTCCCACCTCTGTCTCCCAAAGCACTAGGAGTATAAGTATGAGCTGCTGTGCCTGGCCCCTCTGCCCAGGTTTCTGTCTTTTGGTATTTTCTTCTCTGAGATCTTTGTATCTGTTGTCAGTATTCTCAGCATTTTTTAACTTTTAGTTGATGCTTTTGCTACACATGCTGCTTCTTTTTTTTTTTTTTGAGTCAAAGTCTCACTCTGTCACCCAGGCTGGAGTGCAGTGGCGTACTCACGGCCACCCCAGCATCGACCTGCTGGGCTCAGACCATCCTTCCGCCTCAGCCTTCCAAATAGCTGTATCTACAGGCACACGCTACCACGCCCGGCTAATTTTTTATTTTTATTGTAGAGATGAGGTCTCACCAAGTTGCCTGGGCTGGTCTCAAACCCATAGGCTCAGGCAATCCACTTGCCTCAGCCTCCCAAAGTGCTGGGATTACAGGCTGAGCCACCAAGCCCAGCCACATGCTTCTTATTTGGGGGCTGATGTCATGGATTCTCGTCCTCCAGACCAGATGTGAGGGCTCACATGTAAGACTGTGTTGGAACCCGGCCTGGAGAAAGGCAAACCCTTTGTCAACCTGCTGGGCTCCGGCAATCCTTCTGCCTCAGCCTTACAAGTAGCCTGAATTATAGGCATGCACTACCACACCCAGCTAATTTTTTGATTTATTGTAGATCTGAGGTCTCACCGTGTTGCCCAGGCTGGTCTTGAACCCACGGACTCAGGCAATCCACTTGCCTCGGCCTCCCAAAGTGCTAGGATTACAGGCTGAGCCACCGAGCCTGGCCCCCTTTTTTCTTTAAAGATATTCCAGCCACATTGTATCCCTAGACCAGACAACCGCTAGGTGACCTCCCTGCTGTGCACAGGGCTTCTCCAAGAGCCCCAGACCTCTGGGGCAGACAGTGGTCGGCTCTCAGTGGAGAACTTGTCTCTCAGACTTGGCTTTCAGCTGAGTTTTATTTGGTTTTTGTTTTTTGGGTTTTTTTGAGTTGGAGTCTCACTCCTTCACCCAGGCTGGAGTGCAGTGGCACACTCACGGCCACCCCAGCATCTACCTGCTGGGCTCCAGCAATCCTTCTGTCTCAGCTTTCCGAGTAGTGGTAACTACAGATGTGTGCCACCATGCCCGGGTATTTTTTATTTAACTGTAGAGACGAGGCCTCACCAAGTTGCCCAGGCTGGTCTCAAACCCACAGGCTCAGGCAGTCCACTTGCCTCAGCCTCCCAAAATGCTGGGATTACAGGCTGAGCCACCAAGCCTAGCCTTTCAGCTGGTTTTGCAGAGCCCAGTAGAAGGCCCACCCCACAGACTCTGACCAGCGGGGCCTTCGCCCTCAGATGCGGGGATCCGAGTCCCAGACAGATGCCCGATGTCTGCCAGGGCCGTGTGCATACCCAGCTACTGAGGGCAGGGCCAGACCCAGCTTTTCAGGTCTCCTCATTGACCAGACTCAGTGACAGGACAGGCATGGCCGTCTGTTCTGAAATGCCACCAACAGCCACCCCGGTCAGGGGCAGAGGGAGCAAGTGGGTCGCAGGAAGTGGCTGTGACCCAAACATGTGTCCCTTCCTCCTCCACCCCAGGAGACACCGTCTCTGGACAGTTTGTCCTGGGAGAACCTTAGGAATGCAGTGTCATGGAGGACAGAGCCGGCAGGCACTACGAAGGAGAGGTCTTGCACGATGCCAGGGAAGGTGCGATGCCATGGGGCTCATGGGTGCCAGCCACAGCAGGGCACAGGGTGGGAGCTCCTGTGCACTCAGCTCCACTTTGCAGGGCGGGGGTGGGGGTGGGGATGGGGTCACACCCTCTTCCCTCTCCCCCTCCCCAGGCCGTGTCTGCTGCTGTTCCATGTCGGCTCCACTGCCTGGTGGGGCCCCTGCCCCCCGTCCCTTGTTGTCTGCTGCTGTGTGACAAAGTAGCTCACAACTTTGTGGTTAAACAGCTACATGTCATTATGTGCTCATGATCCTCGGGTCAACAGTGCGGCCCTGGGCTCCATGAGCGGGTCTTCTGGCCCCACGTGGGGTCACTAAATGGCTGCAGTCACAGTGCTCAGCCAGGCCCGACATCCATGACAGCTCAGTCCCTTCCTCCACATTCTGCCGGCCAACGCAAGTCCAGGAGCCAAGCCCAGGAGGGAGTGGTCTCCCATGTGCACTGGGAACCAGAACTCAGCCCACTCTTCTTGAGGCTGTTTGCGTGGCCCCCGCAGCCTCTCCTGTGACAGCCCGAGCACGGGGGACCCATTTTCTGCTCCCTTCACGGCACTCAGTGGAGAAAGGGAGAGACACGTTTACTCACACACATGCCTTACGTGTGCCTGGGAGGCACAGAAAACGCGCTGTGTCAACTGAGCCTGGCCCGACACGGCCCATGGCTGAAAGACCCGAGAATCAGTGAATCCTAGATGCGGCCTCCATTCTCCTCCCGGAGAGTTTGCCGAAGTTAGGAAGCAGAAGTGCCCGTGAACTTGTGCCGCATCCTCATAAGTTCCTCCCTGGCATCTCATACCGCAATGCACAGTGGCGTGGAGGTTTCCTGTGACCCTGAAAACAAGCTTACACACAGGCCCCTGCACAGTGTGACCCTGCAGGACAGCAGAGCACGCTAGTCTCAAATGTCAGCCTGAGGCACCTCTGGGACCTGGGCCCTGAGCCATCATAACCAGCCGCAGGCAGACCACACCCCTCTGCCATCCCATCCTGGTTGTGCCCGGGCCTACCACACCCCTCTGCCATCCCATCCTGGTTGTGCCCGGGGCCTCTGTGTGGCCTGGCTCCGGGAGGACAGGCCAAGCCCAGGTGTCTCCTGACCCACCACTTCCTCCCGCCACCCGCAAGGGCTGCAAGGGGACCCTCTCAGAGGCGAGAGGCGCCAGGAGGGGCTGGGTGGCACCCAGCAGCGGCACAGAGCACAGCTGGTCTCTTTGGGTCCCTGCACTAGGACATGGGTTCCTGGTGCATCGGGATGGCCAGGAGTATCAGGGGTGTTTTCATGACAACAAGCAGCATGGCCCCGGACAGCTGTTCTTCAAGTGAGCGTGTGTCTCACAGCACCCGGGTGCGGCCTGGGCGTGGGCAGGATGGACTAGAACGTCGCCGGCCTGTCCCCGTCTCTGCTGGTCGACCACACAGCACCCGGGAGTGCAGGCACATTCTGTGGTGTTGGGGCACTCCGTCAGTCCCCCTCATCTATGAGGCTGGTTGTGTGTTTAGCAGGAAACACACCAGCTCTCCTGCATTAAGATGCCTCCTGGGGAGATTGGGATGGTGGGGCCCAGGGACCCTCCAGTTTTGGGTGAGGACCGAGGATGTCCCCCTCGGTCCTCAGGCAAGCACTGCAGCCTGATTCCCAGCCGCGGTGCCTTGATCTGCTCGGCCCCTCCCCATTCCTGCCACACAGCATGTCCGGGGCGGAGCCAAGCCATCCTGAGTGGGGCCCAGCGCGCCCTGGGAAGCAGGGCCTGCCATGTGGGGCGGACATGTCCCCACCGCCTGTCACCGACCCCAGCCAGCCCTTGCGAGGTGGGAGCGCTTGGAGCCATCTGCTCGGGCCTATTTTTGCCTCGGTCCCCATGGCGCGTGCTGAGCCCAGTCAGGGGAGCCAGTCTGAGTCACCCCCACCACCTGGTTTCCCGGCTGTGAGCGGCCTCTGTGCTTGTGTCCTTTAGGAACGGTGACATGTATGACAGCGACTGGGTCCGGGACCAGCTCAGGGACATGGGGTGCTGTGCTGTGCTGTGCCGATGGCTCTACCTATGAGGTGCCCAGAACGCACCCCAGCCCTCCTGCTGCCCCAGAGGGTGTGGGCCTCCAGGGGCAAGGAGGGGCATGGCCCCTGCAGCCTCTCCTGTGACAGTCCGAGCATGGGGGGCCCATTTTCTGCTCCCTTCACGGCACTCAGTGGAGAAAGGGAGAGCCACGTTTACTCACACACGTGCCTTACGTGTGCCCGGGAAACGCGCTGTGTCAGGGGAGTCTCTGGTCTCCAGCCAAGCGACCTGGGAGAAAGGGCCCTGAGGTGCAGGCCCCAGAGACAGAGGTGCCATCTGGGGCTTGGTCTGTGGTCAGAGCCAGCCAGGGGCCTCCAGGTGAGGCCTTCTCCACAGCGACCCAGAGCTATGTCCTCCTGGGGCAGAGGGGATACCCTGGTCAGAGGTTTCCTCTGTTGTGTGCGTTGGTCTCCCAATGGGGAAGCTTTTGCTGTTGTCAGAGCCCTCCTGCATCCACGGCTTCTCACAACAGTCAACTCAGCATAGTCTGTGAGCCCAAGAGGCTCATCTGGTCTCCTGCAGACCCTATGCAGTGGGGACTATGACTGCTCCAGGGGAGGGGGCCACGCTCGTCCAGAAGAGGTGATGGTGGTCCTCACAAGGTGCAGAGACATTCAGGAGGCCGGAGGTGAGGACCCGGCCTCACTGACGCAGGATGGAAGATGAGGCAGGGGGATCTGAAGCCCGAGTGTCGGGGACTGTGGGACCTGGTCGTGGCGCCACGCCCGCCACCTCCACAGAGACACTCAAGGGGAGAAACAGACTGGGCCCAGGAGGCTAGCCAGCACAGCACTGAAGAAGTACAGGCTTACAAGGCAGGCACAGGCCCTGGAGATAGCCCAGAGGTGGGATCTGGGGCTTGGCCCATGGTGTCCAGTACTGAGCTCCTGACCAGTGGGAGGGGCAGCTGGTGGTTCGTGGCAGGCAGGGGCTTCACGATCCACCAGGCCACCCCCGCATCCACTGGAAGGTACCAATGGAATGGAGGGCCAGGTCGCCCGGGTGCTGCTGCGTGAGGCCATCACAGCCATGAGAACCCAGACCCTGAAGGCTGGGGGTTCCTGAAGTGTCCAGGTGCAGCCACAGGACACAGCACGACAGGTCTCTAAACTCAGCTCGAGTCACAGCCAGAGGTCTGGAGACGCCAAGGCACCCCAAGGACCAGAGGATGTCAGGGCCGCCCAAAGGAACAGAGAACACCAGGGCCACCCAAAGGACCAGAAGATGCCAGGGCACCTGAAGGAACGCTAGTTCCTCGAGCCTCGGGGTGATATGACTGAGAAGCGCGACATTTCAGTCTTGGGTTGCAGAATTTTTAGGCCCAGTGAACTCCCAACAGTGCCAAGATTCTTCTGTGAAAGTCAGAGCACGAGTGGGCAGAGTGGTTCCCTGGATGGGCAGGGCCTGGCTCTTCCTGAGGTCCGGACCCAGCAGTGAGTGTGGCTGCTGTGGAGGCGGGTGCATGTGCTGGGGAGGCCCCTGAGGTGCAGGAGATGCTTCCCGAATTTTCCCCAGCTGCCTGCCTCCGGCCTTAGGGGTGAAAACAGAGCTGGAGCCTGCAAGAAGCCAATCCTCTGGCAGCGCCTCCTGGGTCTTGTCCCCGGATCCTGTGTCTGTGCTCCTCTGGCCAAGGAGCAACATCTGCAGGGCCCCGGGCAAGGAAGGGCGGGGGCATTGGTCATTGGCACAGACCATTCCCAAGATAGGGTGGGTGAGAGCTGAAGCCATCTTGGCCGGTGCTGCATGCCCAGTAGTGCCCGAGGGGGTGGGGTGTTGGTCCTGTGCTAGGGGCCCCCTAGCCGCCTCCAGGGCTCCACCTTGGGCCATGCTGCCCACGGGTCACTGTGGTCTGGGCCCAGAGGGGCAGGACGGGGGTCACCCTTCCCTCACATCCCTGGCTGACGGCGGCGGCGCACTCATGTCCACCAGGGGGCGACCCAGCCCCGCAGATGGCCCTGCGCCCGGGCTGGTGGGAGAGAAGCTACCTGATGAGCCCCGCCACCAATTGGCAGGCTGGGATGTCTGAGAGCCCAGACTCCCAGGACATGGCCTCTGCTGCTGCTGGCAGCTCGGAGCGCGCAGGCTGGACCCGTCAGGGCCTTTCAGGGACCCAAGGATGGGTTTTCCACGTGGTGTTGAGGCCCTGAAATCCACGAGTTTCACAAAGGTGCATGAACTCTTCATGTGACTGCATTGCCCAGTACTCAGCGACCCCGCCCTTTCCAGACTCAGCGGAGGAATGGACCACCTCACCGGCCTTGTCTGGAACCTGCCCAGCCGTTTGTGAGGCTGTATCCACACACCCGGCAGGCCTATAGCCCTGCGCGCCGTGGGGACAAATGGGACAGTCCCCCGGCTCGTCTGCACCGCCCACACATGCAGTCACAGGACGACTGTGGCTGGCACCCGCAACCTCTAGACCCTGCACTCCCTCTGGCCTCTAAGAGCCACTTGGCCTGGCAGAGTGGAGCATTGCCCCTGCCTAGGCCGCTGTGGACAGAGACAGGTCCAGAAGCCGAGAGAACAGCCTGGGCCTCTGGGCACCCGGAGTCGGGACTGGGCTCTCGGCCGCCTCCAGCACAGGCACTAGACTGTGCAAGAGATGTTCACACCGCATTTGCGTGAAGGGAAATAATTCGCAGGCCTGTCGCTGGGCCCCTTATCAATCATGAGGGCAAGGCTCTGGGCACAGCACACGCCGGCTCAGCCACGCCCTCTGCTTGTGTGTCGGTGCTGGGCCCCTCATGATGCCATGACACCCCCCTACCTCCAGCCTCACTAGCATCCACCCAGAGAGGCAGCGGACCCTGAGAGGCGTCTCCAGCGAGGGAGCAGTTATTCCTCATGGTGTCACTAGTCACGTGTGTAACCCTCTGTTAGAAAACATCTCTGTTGTGGTGAAATACACACAGTGTAAAACCTACTAGTGCACAATTCAGCAACACAGCACATTCACACCAACATGCAGCCATTGCTACCGTCGCCACCAGGACATCCTCATCCTGCCAAGCGGAGCCTCTGTCCCACCAGACTCTCCCTCCTGTCTCCCTGTGACTCTAGGGACCTCGCATGAGTGGAATCCCATGGCACTTGTCCTTCTGTGACTGCCTTGCATCACTGAGCATGACGTCAAGGGCCGTTGGTGTTGTGGCCGGTGTCAGGGCTTCCTCCTCTTGAAGGCTGAATCGCACTTCACTGTGTGACTTTGCTTGGTGTTTCCTCAGTCCACGGACGCCTGGGCCACGTCCCCTTTGGGCTGCCGTGGGCATGCAGCCCCCTTGGGCATGCCGTGGGCATGCATGCATGGCATGCAATGTCTCTTCAAGTTCCTGCTCTGAGGCTGATTCTGTTTAATTCTTTGAGGAGCCACCACACTTTCCCATGGCAGTGTACAGGGACACACAGCTACGGGACACCCCAAGGGCTCCGATTTCCCCCAGCCTCACCCACTCTTATCATTTTCTGGATGTTTTTTAATGGCCATTCCAATGAGTGCTAGCTCTCTTAGCCATAAAAACCATCATGAGATCAGCCCCTCCTGTTGCCGACCTCTGTAATCACCATGAGGCCCAGGCTTGATCCACTTCTCTGGGACGTGTTGCAGCAGTGGTGACACTCCCTTGGCTGGGCCACCAGTGACACTCACTAGGAGCACTTGTGTGTAACATGTGCCTACCACCAAGCCACGTGTCCCCCAGAGCTCATGCCGCCACAGGAAGCCACAAGCAGCTTTTTGGCCATGCAAGGCCACAGGCAATTTTTCAGCCACGGGAGTTCACACAAGGCCATGGGCAGCGTGTTGACCACCAGGAGGCCTTGGGACAACTTGACCACATGAGGACACAGGCAATTTCTCAGCCATGTGAGACCATAGGCAGTTTCTTGGCCACAGGAAGCCACACAGATCCACAGCCAACTTCTCAGTCACAGGAGACCATGGGGGGCAACTTGGCCACATGAGGCCATGGGCAGCTTCGTGGCCACACGAGGCCACGGGCAGCTTCTCACTGTCTTGACTCTGAGCTCGGTCACAGGAGGCTGTGTCTCGGTCACAGGAGGCTGTGGGGCAACTTGACTACATGAGGCCATGGGCAGCTTCTCAGCCACAGGAGGCATGGGACAACTTGACCATGTGAGGCCACCGGCAATTTATCAGCCATGCGAGACCACAGGCAGCTTCTTGGTCACAGGAAGCCACACAGATCCACAGCCAACTCATCAGTCACAGGAGACCATGGGGGCAACTTGGCCACATGAGGCCACGGGCAGCTTCGAGACCATACAAGGCCACGGACAGCTTCTCACTGTCTTGACTCTGAGCTGCCTCTAAGAAGTGCCCCGCCCCCTCCCACACTAACCCTGCAGCCTTCTATTTTCTGTCTGTTTGGGAGATCATTTTACTTTCTGAAAGTACCAAAAAATCATGAGATTCCCCTGGTGTCCTCTTTACGCCTCAGCCTTCTGTCCACACTAGAGCCTGCCCTTGGCCACATGGTACATCTGCCCAGACAGGCAGTCCCCAAAAGTGCCACATACTCTGGCTGGTGGGAAGCCCAGGGGCCGTGTTCTTTGTGTCGGGAGGGCCTAGAAGTCTCCTCCCACTGGCAGGTGTGCCACTTGCAAACCACGCTTCTGCCTCGTGGCAGCCATCCCTCCATGCAGAGCTTTATGTAGAATCATCCATAAAATTAGCTCCAGAAAAAAATGTACTCCTGAAAATAAACGTGTTACAGCTTCTTCTGACAGAAAATAAGAACAACATACCCCAAAGCCAAAAATGTTCCCCTTCTGCAGTGACTGGAGCCACACAGCCTGGTTGGGGGCCAGCCCTGGGCTGCAGCACCCACGGCCTGGGAGCTCCCCTCCCCGCAGCCACTGCCGGCTCCTCATGGCTCGGGCCCCGGCAGTCCTGGTTTGCATGTTGTCGGTGGCCCTGGACAGCGGCATCATGGGGGTCCTTGGTGGGAGCCAAGATGCAGTGGTGAGGAGGGCGTGGCCGGAGAGGAAGCCACCATGTGGTGCGTGGGGAAGGCGGTATCTGTCACCTGTGGGAGCAGTCCCGCCTGTGTTGGTGGTGGTGTGTCCCAGCCGCTGTCTCCCGGCTGTCCTGGCACCTGGCCACGCTGTGTGTTGGCTCCGTCTCACATTTGGCTTTCCTGGGAGGCTGGCTATGCGGCGCACCTGCTCACCACAGGGCAGGTGGTGGCCTCATGGGCGCCTACACCTGCCCAGAGGGATGCAACCCCTCCGCAGGGCCTTGCCACGATCTTCTGCCCTGGGGTCTCCGTCACAGTTTGGGAAGGTGGGGCCGCTGACCTTGGGGGTGCATTGGACACAGAAGGACCGAGAGAAGGATTTGGGGTGTTCAAGTCACAGCCTTTCGGGGTGTCTGGCCAGTCTTCACAGGGACCTCCACCCTGGGGAGGAGGAGGGTCCGCGGCCAAGGCACTTTGGAAACTGTCCGGGTTGCACTAGGCAGGCTGTGTGTCCCCTTCTGGGCTTGATGTCGCTGAGACCGGTGGGACAGAACTCCATGTGCCGGACCAAGGAGGCCAGTGCAGTTCCCTATGGCCCACTCTCAATTGGGAGGTGATGGGGACCCTTGTCTCCAGAGACTGAAGGGTGGAGGCACCCGCCCCACCAAGGCGACCCTGGCCCCTGGACAGTCACAGGGCCCGGGCAGGAGGATCCGGTTGGTTTCTCCCACATGATGGGACCCGAGGGGGCAGGGCGGCTATGCATGAGGCCGTGACTACAGAGAAAGACCCTGCCTGCTTCAGGTCTGGGGCTCAGCACTAGCAGAGGGACAGACTCGCTCCAGGTCATGAAACCACAGGGCCAGCGCTGGAAAGTAGGGCCTGGAGCCCCCGTGTCCCCCAGCTCTGGACTTTTTCCGAGGAGAGCCAGAGGTGGGAAGCGCCTGACGGTGCCAGCAAGGGCGGACATCTGACCAGATGGAGACTCGGTGCATGCCAGGGACATCTGAGAACACAGGGCATCACCGCTGCAGGGCCACGTCCTGCAAAAACACGAAAGAAAAGACAGCACCGTTGGCCAGAAAGACCTTCCTAAAGCAAGAGAAGAGCGCACATGTGGTTTGCAGCAGGATCTCGCCTTGTGTCCACCACTGGGACGGCACCGAGGGATCCCCACCCCAGTTGAGCTCCCAGAAGTGTCCGGGAGAAAGCTGCAGGAGCAGCCCGGCTTGTGGCTGCCTCAGGCTCTGGAGTGTGGCCTCCGCTGCTCCAAGTTGGGAGAGCCATGTGGCGCCCCAGCCTCACGAGTGTGGCCAGGAGCCTGGTGGAGTGGGCAGTGGTGAGAGGACCAGGCATGCAGCCTGTGTCCCAGAGGCGACATCACCCAGCAGCACCCTCATGGTCCTAGGGTCACCATGGAGACTGTGGGGATGTGATGTGTGTCACCGTCCCTGCGCAGCCACTTCCTGCCGCTGGGTCCATCGTCTACCCGCATCCTGCTTTCTTCTGAGTGTGGGCAAGGCCCCAGGTGGTCCCTTCTCATTCTCGCCGCCACCACCCTCTCATGTGCCCTGCTGCACATCTGGCCTCACCTGGGTGCCAGGGAGGAGGAAGGAAAGTAGAGGGCTTTGGCCCTAAGGTCTATACCCAACAATGTGCCCCACCCCATTGCCAGCCTGGCTGTGGCCGAGGTGCCCACGAGTGGGGTTGCACACAGGGTGCTGCCCTGGACTGTGCTTGGTGATTCCTGGGCCTCTGGACACCCACGGCGCCAGAGGCCAGCCCTCACCTGTGCCGTCAGCAGGTGGAATGAGGAGCTCCAACACCCGTGTTATCTGTGCTTGTTCGGTTTTGGGTGCGTGTCGCCTCGCTGAGGAACCAGAGAATGTTCAAACGTACGATCTGTAGCGGAAGTTAGATGAGACCCCCTACTGGATCCACTGCACCACCACATAAGTGTATGTGGACTGAGTGGAAGCAGCGTCCTGCAGGCCCAGCGCCACACGGGCCCAGGGGCGCCCGCCCTCAACACCATGGCTGTGCTACGACGCCCTGGCCTAATGGCTGCTCACCTCGGGCTGAGCATCCCAAGGAGTGTGTCACTCGGGTTGGCACTGAGGCGGGCTCTGTGGCCGTGTTTCTCGCAGCCTGCTGTGCCAGCCTCCCCTGCTGGCCATGGCCACGTGAATGCTCACCTCGGATGTGGCTCCTCTCCTTCTTTCTGCCCATGTGGATGCCTTCTTGGGACTGAGTGGAAGGGGTAGACACGCAGAGAAGAGACAGGCCATTGCCACCAACTGAGCTGCAGTCCAGATGCCTGGAGAGCCTCCCGGCCTCGGGCTGATGACGCCTTTGTGGTGTCAGCAGGTGGTCACAATCACCACCAGCCCATGAGTTGAGGCGCCTGCATCCCAGAGGATTCCAGAGACAGAGCAGCCATCCCAGGCAAGAGCTGGGCCCCCTGGGAGGTGCTGATCTGGTGCCCAGTTGGGAATGCCTGAAGTCACAGGCCGGAGGCCAGAGAAAGCCCAGCAGAGGGGAGGCCAAAGAGAAGCCAAGGGGACCTGCAGGCAGGACTCAGCCCTGGGCCCCGGACAGTGACTTGGGCAGCCGGGAGCCCGTGTCCTCCGGTGACTGAACCCCAGAACTGCCTTCCCTGCCCCAGTGCAGCCTGGCTCACAGCCTGGCTCTGGGGTCTTGCGTCCACGCAGCTGTCTGTGTGGGTGGTGGCCTGCCCGGGGCCCAGGACAGGCGCAGGGACTGGCGGCTCCTCTCATCAGGAGACTGTTGGGTTGGAGAGACCCAGGCAATAGTGTCAAGCAGACAGGGCCACATCAGCTGAGCACCGGGCCCAGAGCATTCCGAGAACCAACCAGGAGTGTGAGCTGGGACCACCTGGGCTCAGACCTTGGCTCTGGGTGTGGAGAGACAAGGCCACCCCTGTGGCTCCACAGGAACCGCCTAGGGGGTGGAGGTGACTTGGAGGACCCTTGGGAGGGAGCGCCCTGTCCAGATCCCAAAGGGGCTCGTGCCAGGACAGCAGCAGGGCCTCTGTTCGCGGCATGCCCACTGGCAGCCCAGCCTCTCCTGAAGCAGGGGCTGCCAGCTGCCTGAGTGCTCCCGGCCAGGAGGCGGGAGTGGTGTCCGGGCCAGCAGCTGCGAGCCGCCCCGCCCTAGGACGTGGCCTTTCCCGGAGGTTCCCTCCACACGGCCTCTCCGCGATTCCATTCCCCAGCCCCTCCTGCAGTCGCTGGTTCCCAGGCTTTAGGCATCGGAGTTCTCAGGGCTGCAGCCTTCTGGAGCCTTCCAGAGCCCACCCCAGCTTGTTGGCCTCCTCTCCCCATGGGCCTGAGGGGCTCCAGCAATGCCCACTTCTCCCGACCTGTGGCCACTCCTCAGGCCCTCGAAGGCCTCCCACGTCCTTTCCCCATGAGTCCCAGGGGTCTGAGGAGAGTTCCAGAAGACCCGCACTGGGCCTGGCAGCCCCACCGCAGCACCCTGGGGTCCCCTCGGACAGACACCCCGGAGGCTGGGCAGGAAGGTGGGAGACCATTTAACTTCTTCGAAAGAGTGCATAGGTGCCCACGTGCCCTGGGCTAATTGTTCCTCCATAGAAGCGATTCACAGTCAAACAAAACAGCATCATGAGTTTGAGACTTTCCATGAAAGTAATTTTCCTGCGATTTCACATTATTTTCCTCTCTTTGTTGTGTGACTAAAGCCGGGCAGCTCAGAGGCAGCAGCGCAGTTGTGTGGGCCCTTCTCCCCAGCGCCCGCCCAGCATGTCCCTTCAGCTGCTAATTGGCCTCTCCTCTGTGTGCGTGGTGTGGTGAGTGCAGGACTGATACTCCAGGCAGGTCCGTTTCTCCTCTGTGCTGCGCACACAGAGGCGGCCTCTTGGTGTGGGAAGGGTTTTGGTGCTGCAAGTGTGTGTTTGCGAAGGTGCTTTGTTTGCCTCTTGTGTATGGCACCATTGCTCCCTGGCAGCACCTGCATTCAGAGGGGAGTGTATTTTGCAAAGCAAATTGGATCACGTTCTAACAAAGTGCCTCTGCGCACCCAGTTGAGCGACTGGAGGACCCTCCAGACAGGGCGGTTCACTGAAGCCTTTGGCCCCTGAGACCCTGCTGTAGCCTCCGGGGAGGGCGGTGCCGTGCGGGGACCCCATGCAGTGCCTGGGGTGCCCCTGGCCTGAGGCCTGGCTGTTTTCTCTGCAGGGAGAGTGGCACAGTGATGGCTTAGGTGGACTGGGCAGCATGGCCCACTGCTCAGGGGTCGTCTACCATGGGCCGTGGATCAGTGGCCACCCCACAGGTAGGGCCCTGGCCTTTCCTGGCCTTGTGAGGTCCACTGTGGGGTTGTGACCCTGGTTCCAGGGCAGTAACGTGGGATGTGTTGGACCCAGAGCATGTTGGGGAGGGGCTGGGATGAGTGGAATCTAAAGTCCCACCCCCTTTTAGGGCAAATATATTCTCATTTGATTTCACAAGTAGTCCTACCGTAAGCAGGTTCCCTCGGCACAGGGAACCCCAGCACAGGACTTGAGTGTGTGGGGCAGCCTGGGTCATGGCTGCACTGCCCCCAAAGTGTCCCTGTCCAGATCCCCTGAGCCCTCTTCGCTGTGACGTGACCACAGGTGACTCATGGCACACCGAGGGGATGGCCAGTTGGGCCCCCGCTGGGGACCGCCTCCCCAGGCCACCTTCCTGCTCCCTGTGTTGTTCCTGATGGCATCTGGGTGGCCTCCAGGTGGACTGCAGGACGAGGGCTCAGGCTAGCCAGGGACACGAGTCACCCATCCAGGTCTTGGTGCCAAACTCGTGACTGATGTACAGGTGCTCACTCCACGCTGGGTGCTAGGGAGCCCTCAGCACAGAGCTGCTAGGCTGGGCTCCCCATGGAGGCCTGGGGGAGGCAAGCAGGCCCAGAGCGTCTGGGGAACATGGCGGGGCTGGCTCCCACAAGCCCCCAACGGACAGCCCTCTCTCAGGTGGTGTCTCAAGAGGACCTGGGCCACTCGGCTGGGCTCTGTCCCCCCAGGAACCTCCCCGGGACAGCAGGAGTCCAGATCCCACTGCTCCCCAGTCTGCCTCAGTCGTGAAACCCTTGGGTGGGGAGGCCTGGGCTGCCGCTAGCTTCACCTCAGTGCACTGGTCTCACTGCAACCCAGGCGGACCCTGGCTTCACTCCCAGAAAACAGTAGGGCACCCACAGTGTAGATGCTGTAGGGACACCACCCAGTCCCACCATCACCATGAGGTCCAGCGCTGTCCATGAGGTCGGCGCGTGCTTCTCCCAGTGGCCACAGGTCCTGAGTACTTCCTAGCATTTGCTGTTAAAGACCCGCTTTATGCTCTTCCCGAGGGACACAGGGGCAGCCGGACATGGGCTGCTCACACCACAGGATGCCCAGCGGGTCCTGGCAGAGCGAGGGCCTCCCCACCAGGAGGCACCCCCGCCAGGCCTGCTCCCAAGGCCGCGCATGCCCGTGTCCAGCACCTCAGGGTGCTGACTCAGAGGCGGGGAATGCAGGGCCTGGAGCTGCAGTGGGAAGACATGCCGGAACATTCCATCAGCATGAAAACCTGGTGGCCCCTGCGCTGCTCACATGCACCCTCCCAGCTTGGTGGGCCCTGTGGCCTGGTTCCCATGAGCAATTTCTTTCTAACCTGAATTGCTCTGAAGGATTGTAGCTGGCCCTCGAGCCTGAGCATCAAGCAACCGCCCAGGTCCCCTCCGCACAGTGGCCCATGCTGGGGACTCTTAGGCCTTGGGGTCCTGTCTCCATGTTTACAGCTCCTGTCGCTTGGGGGTGCACCACGAGGCCATAGGACAGGGAGGATGGATCCTGTGGCCCTTGCTCAACTCAGCTATGGGATGGCCTTCCCAGCAACCCGCCTCAGCCACTCTGCTCCTTCCCAGGGCAAGGCACAAGGATGGTGATTCTGGGCCCAAAGGTGATGGAAGTGACCCAGGGATCTCCCGTCACGCTGAACGTCCAGCTGCTGCAGGACAGTGGGGAAGTTGCCAAGGGTAAGCACCTCCCAGAGGGCCACTTGGCTGTTCCAGAGAGGCAGGGTCAGGCTCTCCCACAGCGGCCGCGCAGGCAAGAGGCACGTGTGGCTCGTGCCCGGTGGTGACTGTGGACGTCCCAGCTGCCCAGAGCCTGGCAGCAGGACCGGTCAGCAAGCAAGCCCTCCGCCAGTGTGGGGCAGCTGTGACTGTGTGCATGTGCGAGTGTACACGTAGACACGCGTGTGCCTGTCATGTGGGTATGTGAGCATGTGTGTATGTTAGTGCTTCTTTTTTTTTTTTGAGTTGGAGTCTCACTCCGTCGCCCAGGCTGGAGTGCAGTGGCACAGATGCTCACGGCCACCCCAGCATCGACCTGCTGGGCTCCAGCGATCCTTCCGCCTCAGCCTTCCAAGTAGCTGGAACTACAGGTGTGTGCTTCCGTGCCCGGCTAATTTTTTTATTTTATTTATCGTAGAGACAAAGTCTCACCAAGTTGCCCTGGCTGGTCTCAAACCTGCAGGCTCAGACAATCCACTTGCCTTGGTCTCCCAAAGTACTGGGATTTTAGGCTGAGCCACTGAGCTGGCCAGTGCTTCCTTTTTACGTGTAACAGTGCTCCATAGAATTGCTTGGCCATGCTCTGCCCATCCACGAATCATGGTGGACACTGAACTGTCTGCACCCTGGGCTATTGTGAGTGGCTCCCTCGGAACCCCTGTGCCGGATCTCCCCTGCATACACCCACAAGTGGAATTGTGGATCCCGTGGTAGATTTACATGAAACTTCTAAAGAAATGGCCAAGCTGTTTTTCCAAGATGGACGCTCATTTTACAGCTTGCCGGCAACACAGGAGAGCCAGATCCCCACACCCTCGCTGGTGCCTATGCTGTTGCTTGGGTAGTGGCCATCCTGGGACCACAAGTGTCTCCTTGGCATGTTGATTTGTGTTTCCCCAGCGACAAATGATAGCAGGCACTGTCCATGCGCTTATTGGCCATTTGAATATCTCTTTGGAGAAATGTCTGTTCAACATTCTACCCATTTTTAAAAACCGGGTTGCTGTCCTACTGCGTGACAAGCGTTCTTTTGCATTCTGGACACAAATCCTTTCTCAGATGCATCTTGACAAATGTTTTCTTGCAGTTCATGGCTTGTCTTTTCACTTTCATAATGCCGTCTTTTGTTTTTAACTCTGGTGAAGTTCAGTTTATCTATTTTCTCTATTACGGATCCTCGTTTTGATACTGTATTTAAAAGTTATTTGCCTGACTCAAGTTTCACAAAGATTTTCTCATTTTCTTCTAGAAGTTTTATTGCTTGAGTTCTTACCTTCAGGTCTGTGGACATTTCGAGTTGCCTTTTATGGATAGGGTAAAGCTCTAAGTTCATCTTTTCATGTGACTGCCCTTTCCTCGTTGAGTTGCCTTGGCTGCTTGCTTGAAAACCAGTTAACCCTAAGAGGAAGGGCTTGTGCCCAGTTCTGTCCCGTGGAGCTGTGTGTCCATCCTGCCACACCCTGGGTCTCTGCCAGGACCACACTGTCTGGATTATTGGCACCTTTAGTGCATTTAAAATTGGAGAGTCCTCCCGCTTTGTTCTTATTTTTCAAAATCGTCTGAACTGTTCTGGGACCTTTGCATTTCCGTATGCATCTTAAGACCAGTCTGCCATTTTCTGCAACAACAACAGCAAAAACCCGCGGGGATATCGACAGGGGTTGCGCCGAATCCCGCTGGGGTCTGGCCTCCCTCCCAACACTGAGTCTCCCATGCAGAAGTACAGGATGTTGTCCGTTTACTTAGACCTTGGCTTTCTCCCACCAGCGTCTTGTTATTATCTTGCACGTCTTTTGTTAAATCTATTAATACATAACTAAACATTTGTTGTCATTAGATATTCAGTTATAATTATTTATAAATGTGTTATGTTCTTTGCATGCTACTGACCACAGCTGGTTTTTGTATGCTGACGTCCTTTCTTCAACCTTGCTGAACTCATGCATTCATTCTAGTTTTTCTGAGGCCTCCTTAGGCTTTCCTATAAATAGGATCATATTGTCTGTAAGTCTAACCTCACCTCTTCCTTTCAGGTGAGCACACTCCCCCATCTTCGGCTATATGACGAGCAGCAAGGAATGAGGGTTCTGATCGCTCCCTATTCGTGCTGGCACTTGTGGTTTTCTGTCTTTTTTTTTTTTTTTTTCGGAGTCTCCCTCTGTCACCCAGGCTGGAGTGCAGTGGCACGCTCACGGCCACCACAGCCCTCAACCTGCTAGGCTCAGGTGATCCTTCCACCTCAGCCTTCCAAGTACCTAGAACTACAGGCACACACCACCATGCCCTGCTATTTTTTTTTTAGTCTATCATAGAGCTGAGGTCTCACCAAGTTGCTCGGGCTTGTCTCGAACCCATGGACTCAGGCAATTCTCTCACCCCGGCCTCCCAAATTGCTGGGATTATAGGTGTGAGCCACTGCACCCAGCCAGTTGTCTGTCTTTTGGGTACAGTCATCTTTGTGAGTGGGAAGTGGTATGGTATTGTGGTTTTGATGTGTGTTTCCCTAAAGGCTGATAATGTTGAACATCTTTCTGTGTGCTTATTGGCCATTTGTGTATCTTATTTGAAGAAATATCTAGTCAGGTCCTTTGTCCATTTAAAAAATTGGGTTACTTGTCTTTTTATTGTAAGATATTGAGTTCTTTTTTTTTCTATAGCCCTAGTAATAGGATTAGCACGGCGACACACATAGGGCGAACTCTCCACTGCCGTGTCATTAGAATGGCCCTCAGCCCCTTCCTCCCACTCTGTGGCTCGGAGCCTCAGTTTCTCCCTAGATCAAGTGGGGGACGCTTTCCCCCTTCCCACCAGGGGAGAAGCACTCTCTGAGCAGTGAGGGCACAGGGAGCACCCCAAGCGCACCACCCTCTGCCTCAGTTTCCCCACAACCCGCGGAGGCCCAGCCCCCCATCCTCCACCCATAGAGGAGCCTCACCTGGAGTCCACAGCGCCCCAGAGATATTGAGTTCTTTATATATTCTGGATACAAGTCTCTTATCAGATACCTATTTACAAATATTTTTTCCCGTTTGTAAGCTGTCTTGCAGTTTCCTGATGGTGTCCTTTGAAGCCCAGTTTATCTATTTTTCCTTTTGTTGCTTGTGATGTCATGTTGAAGAAGAATTTGCTTAAACCAGGGTCATGATGATTTACTCCTGTGTCTTCTTCTTTTTTTTTTTTTTTTTGAGTTGGAGTCTCACTGTGTCGCCCAGACTGGAATACAGTGGCTGCTCCTGGCCACCGCAGCCTCGACCTGCTGGGCTCCAGCGATCCTTCCGCCTCAGTCTTCCAAGTAGCTGGAATTACAGGCGTGTGCTACCACGCCCGGCTAATTTTTTTTTTTTTTTTATTGTAAAGATGAGGTCTCGTCAAGTTGCCCAGGCGGGTCTCGAACCCATGGGCTCAGGCAATCCACTCGCCTCAGCCTCCCAAAGTGCGGGATTACAGGCTGAGCCACCGAGCCTGGCTACAGTATATTCTTTCAAATTTGGATGTCCAGTGTCCTCAGCACTACTTGCTAAAAAGACTGTTCTTTCCTCAATTTGCTAAAGTTTTATTTAGAATGTTTGCCTCTCTGTTCATGAAGGATATTGACCTCAAACGTCTTTCCTTACCCTGTCTTTCTGGTTGTGCTAACAAGATCATGCTCATCAAATGAGTTGGAGAGAACTCCCTCGTCTTCTATCTTCTGGAAGAGTTTGTGTTGAATTGGCATTATTTCTCGGTTAAATGTTGAGTCAAATCATCTGGGCCTGGGGTTTTCTTTGTGAGAAGATTTTAAACTAAGACAGTGTCTTTAATAGCTACAGGGCTATTCAGGTTATCTATTTCTTCTTGGGTGAGCTTTGGTTTTATGTCTTCCAAGGAATATTTGTGCATTTCATCCAAGTAGCCAAATTTTTGGACATGAGTTTGCTGCTAATATCCCCTTATTCTCCCTTTAATGCACAATATCACCACTCTTGTTCCTAATATGTATTGTTGGCATCTTCTCTCTCTTTTTCCTGACTAGTCTGGCTAAAGATTATTAATTTCATTAACAAACAACTAGCTTTTGGTTTCACTGATTTCTGTATTATTTTTCTGTTTTCTATTTTAATTTCTATTTGATCTTTTTATTTCCTTGCTTCTGCTTACTTTAGATTTCATTTACTGTTCTTTTTCTGGTTTCTTGATATGGAAGCTAAGGCTATGCATTCAAACCTTTCTTTTCTAATAAGCAGTTTATTGCTATAAATTTCTCCCTGGGTCCTGCCTTAGCTGCATCCTGCACATTTCGATATGTTGTGTTTTCATTTTCATTCAGTTCAAAATACTTTCTCATTTCTCTTCTTACCTCTGAGTTATTTAGCACTGTGTTGTTCCATTGCCAAATATGGGGAGATTTTCCAGAGTTCTTTCTGTTATTGAATTCTAACTTAGTTCCGTGTAATTAGAGTCACACTTTGTATGTTTTGAATCCCTTCAAAGTTATTCAACTTTTAAATTTAGTTATTTTAATTTAAATCTGTTTAAGTTTATTATTTTATGGCCCAGAATATGATCTATTTTGCTAAATGTTTTGTGTGTACCAGAGAAGACTATGAATTCTGTTGTTGGATGGACTAATCTATAAATGTCAATTAGGTTGATTTTGTTGATTTTTTTTCCTTTACATTTTCTATATTCTTGCTGGTTTTCTGTCTGCCTATTCTATCAAGTTTTGAGAGTAGTATATTGAAATCTCTGGCTATAACTGTGAAATTGTCTATTTCTGATTTTATTTCTGTCAATTTTTGCTCCATGTATTTTGAAGCTATTATTAGGGGCATAAACATTTAGGATTTGTATGTATTTTAAGTAATTGGTCCCTTATCCTTGTGAAGTTGCCTTATTTATTTCTGGTAATAGTTCTTACTCATATATCTACTCTCTGTGATATTAATACTGTCACTTCTGTTTTGTTTTGACTACCATGATTGTCAAATGGTGAAGAGTTAACATCTTTATCCATCCTTTTACTTTTAACCTGTGTCTTTATATTTAAAGTGTACTTTTTGTAGGTAGCACATAGCTGGGTCTTGCTCTTTTATCCCATCTAAAAATCTCTGCCTTTTACTTGAGGAGTTTATGCTATTCACAGCTAATGCAATTATTGACATAGTGGTTCAACTTACCATTTTGCCCCGGCTGTTTGTTCTCCTTTATACCCTATTTCTATCTTTTTTTGAATTGGGTATTTTTATGATTCCATTTTGTCTTCTGTGTTAACTTATTACTTATAACTCTTTGTTCTGTTATTTGAGGTGTTGCTTTAAGGTATACAATATACATCTTTAACTTATCACAATTACTTTCAAGTAAGACCACACTACTTCATGTATAAAAACTTTACAGTGGTGTATACTTTTCTCCACTCCCAGCCTTTATGCAATTGTGTTTATACATTTTACACTCATATATGTAATAAGCTTTGTTATTATTTTTATTTAAATGATGGCCACTTATCTCTTTATGTATATTCAAAAATCAGGAGAGAAAACTTCTCTCTTTACCCACAGCTGCCATTTCTGGTCCTCCTCATTCCTTCCTGTAGATCTGGAGTTCTGTCTGGGGGTTTCAACTTCTGCTGGAGGGACTTCATCTTCAACACCTCTTGTAGTACATGTTTGCTGGCCATGAATTCTTTCAGCATGTGTATGTCCAGAAACATCTTGGTTCCACTCGTTTCAGACAGATATCTTCCCCAGATTTAGAATTCCACCTTCTCTTTCAGTACTTTGAAGATGCTGCTCCATTGTCATCTTATTTGCTTTATTTCTGACAAGAGATATGCTGTCATCTTTGTCTTTGTTTCTCTATACAAACAAGTCCTTTTCCTCCGGCTGCTTTTCAGCTTTTCTCTTTATCACCAGTTTGAGCAAATTGTAATGTTATGTGGTGTCATTTTGCTTCTGTTTCTTGTGTATGAAGTCCATTGAGCTTCTCACATCTGTGGACTTATCATTTCCATCAAATTTGAACGTTTTTAGTCATTATTTTTTCAATCATTTTTACATCACAGCCTCATCCTGTACCTGTATTATCCGTGTATTAGGTTCCTTGAAGTTGTCCCACTGTTCACTAATTCCCCTTCCTCCTTTCTGCTTCTTCTTTTTTCTTTTAGATTCTTTCTTCTCTCAGTGTTTCATTTTCATTAGCTTCTATAGCTGTACATTTGACCCTTGAACAACATGGCTTTGAACTTTTTGAATCCTTCTATCCATGAATTTTCTCCTGCCTCTGTCACCACTGAGACAGCAAGACCAACCCTCACCCCCTCCCCCTTCCTCTTCCTTCACCTCCTCAACATGAAGATGACAAGGATTAAGACATTTAAGATTATCCACTTCTGGCAGGGCTCAGTGACTCAGCCTGTAATCCCATCACTTTGGGAGGCTGAGGCTAGTGGATTGCCTGAGCCCATGGGTTCGAGACCCACCCAGGCAACTTGGCGAGACCTCATCTCTACAATAAATCAAAAATTAGCTGGGCACCGGAGTGCGCTTATAATTCCGGCTACTTAGAAGGCTGAGATCAAGCTGCGGTGGTCGGGAGTGTGCCACTGCACTCCAGTCTGGGCGACAAAGTGAGACTCCAATTAAAAAAAAAAAAAATCCACTCCACATGATACAGGCTGAGAAAAAACTCATCTCCCCAGGCTCTTCAGTTAAGAATTTGGCAAGAGAGAGAGAGAGAAAAACAAGATCAGAGTTTAGTCCTTGTCCTATTAATAAAGGTAAATAATCTTAAAAAAAAAAAAAAAAAGATTATCCACTTTCACTTATTGAACAGTAAATAGATTTTCTTTTCTTATTTTCTTAATAGTGTTTTCTTTAGGTTACTTTATTGTAAGAATATAGTATTTAACACAGTAATGCATACATAACATATGAAATATGTGTTAGTTGACTGTTATTTTAAGGCTTCTAGTAGGCTATTAATCAGTAAGTTTTGGGGATGTCAAGAGTTACACATGGAGTTGTAACTGTGCAGAGCTGCCCCTAAGTCCCACATTGTTCAAGGGTCAGCTTCCTTTTCAAGTTCAAAAAGCTTTTCTTTTGCAATGTTTAACTTGTTGTGGGGCACACTCAGTATATTTTTTATCTCCTACTTTGAGTTTTAATCTCCAGAAGTTTGACTTTGTTTTGTTTTTTATATCTTCTTTGTCTCCACTTAACTTTTGAACATAGAATACAGTTACAATAAGAACTTTTTAAATATCCTTTACTGTTAATTCTAACATCTGTGTCAGTTCTGGGTCGGTTTCAATCGGTTGATTTTTCTCCTCATTATGGGCCATACTTTCCTGCATTCTTTGCATGCCTGGTCATATTTGATTGGATGCCAGACATTGTAAATTTTACCTTGTTGAACTTTGGGTATTTTTGTATTCCTATAAATATTCTTGAGCTTTGTTCTGGGGGCACAGTTAAGTTACTTGGAGACAGTTTAATCCTTAGGGTCTCGCTTTTATGATGTTAGACAGGTCTGGAGGAGAGCTCCGTCTAAGGCCAATTATTCCCTCTTACTGAAGCACGACCCTTCGGAGGATGCCACCCAGTTTTCTGTGACTTCCGAGTTTTTCCAGCCTGGCTGGTGAGAGCAAGCACCACTCCGAGACCAGGTCCTGAGCTGTGGGCCCTGGTCCCTCGAAGGCCTCCAGCTGGCTCCTTCCACAGCCTCGTGGAGTTTCCACACATATGTGTGCTGATCTGTGTTCTGCTGAACACTCGAGGTGCCTCTTGCAGACAGGCCCCAGGTTCCCCTCTCTAGGCAGCTCTTTTCTCTTTGCTGCTCTGTCCCTTCAGCCCTAGACTCTGTGTTTCCCCCGAGAGTCTCAGCTGAGAGAGTTTACTGGGCCCTGCCTTAGTCTCCCTCTCTGTTCCTAATCCTGCTGCTTTGTCTCAGTGTTCCGAGAGTGCAGAAGCCCAGCCACCTCCTTCCTGTGTGAGCCTTTAAGCCCGGCCCGGGGCTCAGGGGACTCGGTGTTGGCTCTGGGGACTCGGGCCTGACTCTCCACTCCCCTTGTCCCCCTCAGGCACAGCCATCCTGCCCCCACCCACTGTGCCCAGGAGTGCCCCATGCCCAGCACCCCTTCCTGTCAGTTCCTCTGGGTGTGGCTGGATGCCCAGCTCTGCCATCTCCACCTGCCAGCAGGGCCTGGCAGGTGCCAGCGGCTCAGAGGGATGGTGGTATCCACCCTCAGGCGCTGTCCTCTGGGAGCTGTCTGCGGGGGCCAGGGGCCACTGAGTGAGAGCACCTGCACCTGGAACAGCTGAAAGCAGGCATTTAGTGGGCACTGACTGTGTGCCAGACCCTGCACTGGGTGCTTTGGTGGGGAGCTGCCCCCAAAGTCAGGGGGGAGATGCACACTAACAGCAGTGATGTCCACCCGGGCTGTGAGGACCACGATGGAGGCCTCTCGGTGCATCCTTGTGTGCACACACAGGCACATTGGGGGCCAGGTGTGCCGCGGGAAGATGGGCCTCCCAGAGAAGGCGGGGGAGGCCTGCCAGTCACACGGCCAGGAGCCTTGGTGCCCAAGACTGGAGATTCAGGCTCCAGGACTTGACACAAGGGGATAGCAGGCTTGGATGTGTGGACGGCATCCAAGGCCCAGCAAGGTGGAGGCCTCTGTGGGGCATGGAGAGGGCAGGGGGCCAGGGGGCCAGCCCGGTCCTCACCAGTGTCCAGCCCAGGTAAATGAGGCTGCACCAGGTCATGAACTGTGCGTCACAGAGCCCACCCCAAGCCCCTGCTCCAGCCTTACTGGCTGTCCCTTGGCACAGTCTCAGGACTGGCTTCTTCTCTCCTAGAAGGTGAGGATGGCCAGCTCCTGGCAGTCTCCGCGATCATCAGGAACGTGCAGCTACCGCCTTCTCTGAGGTCAACTTCTTCATAGTGGATGGAGGTCACCATGAAATGCCCATCCAGACCCCGTTGTGAGTATGGTGGCACCAGGTGATGTCCGGGGTGGGGCGGGGCGGGAGGTCTCTCCTCAACCTTGGACAGTGAGCCTCTGCTCAGAGCCCCCCCCATGTCCCCGGGCACTGGCTAGAGCCCCTCATCCCCCAGTCCCCTGGAACACACCTGGGCTGGGCCGGGCAGAGCACACGTCCACAGGCAGAGACGGGCCCTGCAGTGACCATCCAGGAAGAGGCCCTCTCTGAGCCCCAGAGCCGCAAAACTCGTCTTTTACACCATTCATAGTCAGGGTTGAAGAGGACTCGAGCAACAGGGTGTGTGACATGAGGCTCTGATGCTCTCTCCAAGGGAGTTAAGACACCCCTTTGTCCACCAGCCTGTTCCCAGCGTGAATGGCCAGTTGACATTTGGGGCGAACTTGGACTCATTTGCAAAGTCAGATGCGTCCTGAGGCGATGCTGCTGGAGCCTCAGGAATGATGGGCGACTCTTTCAAAGCCAGGAGGACCACCTCCTTCCCCGGGCGAGCCCTCTGACAGCCCCAGCCCTACAGGCATTGGTCCCAGAGACACTGAGCGGGGCGTCCTGCTGACGCCTCCATGGACAGGGTCCGGGGCTGCCCTTCCCCACCCCTGTTCAGCGTTGGGTGTTGGGCTGAGCAGAGCCGACCTGCCGTCCCCGACTCTGTGGGTTCCAGTGCATCCCCTACCCTGTGACCAGCCCCATACCTGGAGCACCAGAATCCAGAGCTGCCATGGAGTGTGCTAGAGCAGACTGACCTCCACCCCAGGGAGCCCTGGAGCCAGTGCCGGACGTGGGCATCCTCCATGGCCAGGGGGACACTTCTAGCAGCCTGCCCACTGAGTGGAGCGGACAAGCTCAAGGCGGGGTGTGCCAGAATCATGGGGGCGTGGGGTGACAGGCCCAGAACCAGGCCTGAGCAGGCCCCTCAAGCAAGCGGGATCCCCCACAGGGCTGGTCTCCACAGCGTGGGTGGGCTGGGCAGCCACCTCCAGTCCCTACCCGCAAACCCACCAAGCAGTCCTGGCAGCTGAGGTGGCCCAGGTCGTGGCCTGTGGCCCTTGAGCCTGGGGGGGGAGCAGCCCGCAGGTCCTCTCAGGGCTGAGTTTCTGGGTCTGCCGGGAGGAGTACTGAGCCTGAGAATGGCAGATCCACCGAGGTCCACGGCCTGCGGGCAGCCTGGACACAGCACCAGTTGCTCCTGCCGCCTGGGAGCCCTCAGTGGCCAGAGCCACAGTTCCGGGGGGCCATGGCCCTGACCACTCCCGTGTCAACCTGGGCTCCTGACTGTTCTGCCATGTGTGTGTTTGAGTCATGTTTCTTCACCAAGATGAGACTCCAGTGCCACATCAAGCCCACAGCCCCCGCATTGCCCCAGGCCGAGGCAGGTGGCTGGCTTGCTAGAATGCCGGCAGGGAATCAGTCTGGATCACTCCAGAGTGATCTGTGGAGCCAGTATGAAGCTCAGGGCTTGAATCAGTGTCATCACTGCGCTCGGCAATCCTGGGTCCTCCTATCCAGCACGATCCGCAGTCAGTTCGTGGCTCACATCCTAATGCAGAAACGAGGGACTGGCCTTGCTGGTGTCGAGAGGATGGAGGTATCTGAACCAGGCACCCCTCTGGGGAGTCTTGAGGATCCTGCCCGCAGGGACAAGTGGGTCATGTTTCTTCCTTGCCGCCGCCTGCACCCTGGGCCTTCAAGACCCTGACAGGAGGAGCCAGAGGCTCCATAAACTAGACTTGGGTCAGGGAGTCCCCACAAAGCAAATTCACTTTGGGCTTGGGGCTTTTGAGGCAGCCCAGCCCACAGCCAAAGTCCGTACCCCACCGTTGGGGTCTGAGCTCCACATTGCTCGGAGAGGGCACAGACTGCAGGTTCCCAGGTCACAGAGCAAAACGTGGTGGCAGCGTCCTCGAGACTTGGTGAGTAGGTGGGGGTGAGGCTGACACTGGGAGCCCTGCCACCCTCCGTGACCCCTGCGGAAGTCCCAGGTTACCACAAACGCGCCTCACATGGCAACCACATCACTACTGCCACGTCTCTTCCTATCCTGCCCCACACACACAGCCCTGGCCCCGCCCCACCACGGCCCCGCCCCAGCCAGGCCCTGCACTGCCCACCATGGCTCTGCCCACCATAGGTCTGCCCCAGGCCTCTGGCCACTCAGGCACCCCGAGGCCCTCTGCTCCTCACATGCCGTCCAAGAGTCCATGCAGCCCTCCAGACCTGGCTCCTCCACTGGGGGCTCCCCTCAACCCCTCCTGGCCTCCTGCCTGCCACGTCGCCCAGGCGGGTATTGAGCAGGGCCACCCCTCCTGTGCCAAGAGCCCTGAGACCTGGCTGTGTCCCTTTTCCTGCCCCCCAAGCCAGGCACATGCCAGCCTCGTGGGCCCTGAAGCTGTCCTCACGGCCTGTCCCAGGGGTCTCAGACCCCGGTCCCCAGCCACATGTGGGGTGAGCGCAGCTCAACTCCGCTGTCCGTGTGCCCGTCAGGTGGCAGGGCTGAGGGTGGGGTCGGCAGGATGCCTGGGCCTTCTGTGGCCCTGCGGCCCTGGGTGGCTCTGTGGCCCTCAAGGTCCCTGGTTGCCAATGGTCAGCATCCTCAGGCTGTCACCTCAGGTGCCTGTGCCCGCTGCTCCCCCACCCACCTGCACCCCAGAAACCTCACCCAGTGGGTGGCCAGGAGTCCCTAGAGGTGCAGTGGGTGTCATAGACTCTGCTGTGATAAGACATGGATTTGTCCACGGAGGGCCACCAAGGCCACGCCTACAAATTGCTCCCTCCGGAGTGTGCAGTGGGCGGGGGAGGGGGTGGCAGGGCATGCACCGTTTGGAGGCTCTGATGCGGGCAGGCTCGGCAGCCGTGGGGCCAGGCACCCGGGGGTCCTGGCCCACCCCCCGTCTGCTTTCCCCTCGGTTTATAGAAGCAATTTTATACCGCGTCCGTGGAATGGTTCTCGTATTTCTGTGTAAAAACGCTCCCTGGGCGCCATGCCTGCCGCCTAAAGAGACTTTCAGAGCCAGCTCCAAGGCCCTGATTGGAACCAGGCCCGAGGGCTTGGCTCATCAATGCCCACCCGCCCTGCCCTCCTGTGAGCGCCCCCATGTGGCTTCGTACCTGCGGGACTCACCAAGCGCCCGTCCTCACTGTGTGGACCTGGGCACACCCTGCCAGCCGGGGCCTCCCCACCCTCGCCAGCTCAGGCTGGTTTCTGGCTCCGCTGCGTTGTATGTCCAGACTCTTCAAGCACAAAAGGAATTGCCCGGGGCAGGAGCAAGTCTTTGTGTTTGTGGGAATTGTGGGGTTTGAACCTGAACTTGGAGCATAGCACTGGGCTCAGCGGCCTGCTGGAAGCACCACCAGGCCCTGTCGTGAGAGACTGGCTTTGCTTCCCACACTGTGAAGCTGAAGCTCTCTGTACCTCAGTCCTCTTCTGCAAAACAAAGGTCCTAACAGTGTCCACCCCCAAGACTGCGGATTGAGGGGACTGCACGCTGGCCCCATGCCCACATAGGGGACAGGCCCGGAGGGGAAGGACCCTGGCATGGGGTCTCACGTGGTCGAGTCCACACAGGAAAGGGGAGGGGAGGGCTGGAGCCCAAGGTGGGTGGTCCCTGCCTCGTGGGAAGGGGTTGATCAGGCCAAATTCACCCCCAGGAACGTGGTGGGTCCTTGTTCTGTGCATCTCCTGATCTGGTGACTGGGCAGGGACCAGGACAGGGACCCCTGCCGGGTGGTCCTGAGCCTGCCGGTCCCTCCTGGGATGACCGCTGGACACTGTGGCACTCCACACAGTGCAGCCCCGCCCAACTGCCCTCCTGGGGACTGGTGGTTACCCTGATAACTGCGTTACCCATCGGACCCCAAGTGCCCTCCTTGGACCAAGCCTCAGAAACACTTTCCAGTTTGGTCAGTGCCAGGATCGCCGAGCAGTATGCGCAGAGCCGGGTCCCGGAAGGATGTGTGTTGGCTGGCTCCATGGGAAGACCCAGGGTCTGGTGAGCCGTTCCACCTCTGGACATAACGGAGCGTCGGCGTCTTTCTCTTCCTTGAGTGATCCCATTTAAAACGTGCGTGCTGGGCTCACTGATTCCAAACCAGGATCCAGCGGAACATCCAAAGTGAATGCCGCTCCCCGACCCCACCTCCCCTGGAAGTCTGCCCTGCAGGAGGGCTCAGGAGCCTGGGGACATCAGGAGCTTCCTCCAAGAGAGGACCACTCCACCCTTCGGGGGGCTGAGGACACGCTGGCCACCGGTCTGTGCTCCTCGGTCATTCGGCAGAATAAATGGAGCCATTGCAAAGTTCAGTTCTGTCCATCAGAATAGTGTTCATTTATAAGAGAAAACTCTAGAATAATTATGGCTTCAACCAAAGGGCAATCGTGTTCAGGAGGCTCAGAGAAGTCAGCCAAGGCCCAGAAAGCCTCAGTGTCAGGAGCCAGCTTTGTCTGCCTTGGCCCACCAGGTGTCACCCCAAAGTCCCTGCAGCCCCTGCCTTGGCCCACAGGATGGGGAGGCCCCACCCCTGCCACAGGGGCTGGCAAGGGGGCGGGTTCCAGCCGGCCTGCGCCCCATGCACAAAGGCCTAGAGCCAAGTGAAACGTGTCACACAGCTGGAGGGAACACGAGGACCACATCTTTAATCATCGTCCCTAAAGCAAGCACAAAGTGCGGCGGCCTAAAGCTGTCCCCATGTGTACAGGGATGCGAAACCAGGCGTCCGTGGCCGCGGAGACAGGCTGTGGAAACCAGCCCACTCGCACTGAATACCCACTGGTCCTGCCACCACCAGCCAGGGTTTCCCGCCCAGTGGCCACTCATGTGCGGTCAGAAGCACAGACCAGAGAGCTTCGGGTCACCTGGGAGTTCAACTCACAGCCTGAAGTGACTTCCAACACCACCGCCCCCACCGAAGCTCCTTCCGAGGACATTCCTGAGCAGGGACATCAGAGACACTCCATCCAGGGCAGAACCTCTGTGCCAGGGCATCCCCACCTTGCATGGCACTGTGAACCTGAGGGACCAAGCATGGCCACGGCCAGAAAGCGGGATGGCATGCTGGGAACCCTCCTCACCTGGAGCAGCACACCCCGCTGCTGCTCTAGCTGCAGGATGTGGTTCATGCCGCCCTGTGCCTGCTGGCCTTGGCTTTACCCTGGCAGGCTGTGTGCTCAGGGTGGGACGTGGCTGTGTTTCCCAAACAGCACAGTAACACGTCAACCCGTCTGTGTTTACTTCTCTATCACGTAAAAGTGCCTCCTGTCCTGCCCTGTCGTCTCCGTGAGCACTTCGGGGTCCCAGTTGGCTGCATAGGCTCCAGCCATTGTGCCCCCATTCCAGCTAGCAGAAAGGGGATAGTATGAGGGGTGAGAAGGGCCTTCCAGCCTGGAGAGAGTGGAGATGCTGCCTACATGGCCACCGTACAGAACTTGGCTACATGGCCCCACCAGGAGACTCTGGGCCTTCTGCTGCCCCATGGGGGGAGGGGAGCCAGAGGTCATCTGCCTGACTGATAGGCATGGGGAGCCCTGTCTGTGTCCCTGAGGCACCCTGCAGTCTTACCCTGTGGCACCGTGACCCGGGGATTTGCTGCTTTGCAGTTGGAACCTGGTGCTGGAACCTGGTGGTGAGCTCACAGGAGCGCGGTGGCCCAGGGCTGCCAGGGCAGTGTGGCATCCCAGGTGCTCATGCAGGGCTCACCGTCCAGCTGGACTTCAGATGGTGGGACACTGGAAGGCCTCACCCATGACTC